AAAATTCCCACTGTTTGGCAACGCCTGAAAGCAAAAGCCTCAACTGCAGCACTTCGCAGATTAGTTAACTATGTACAAGAAACGTGGATGGACGAAGACGGAATGTGGTCCCCATTCAGTTGGAGCGTATATAACAGAGTCATTCGAACCAACAACGATGTAGAAGGATGGCATCACGCCCTCAACAACAGAGTCGCTGGGAAAGCAAACCTGCCGTTTTATCTACTGGTGCACCTCCTATACAAAGAAGCATTACTTGTAAAGATGGACATGAGGTTCGTGTCGGAAAGGAAAGTAAAAAGGCAGCAGAAGAACAAGACAAAGAGAAGGCAGGGGAAAATAATGAGGCAGTGGGCGGTATATAAAAGACAAGAGCAGAATGCAAGGGAACTTTTGAGGGCGTGTGCTACAGTACCGCCTGAAAACATTGAAGCATAAATCGCGTCCGTCACGCGCCCGGTTATCGCGGTAAAAACGCGAATTAGCCGCGACCTGGACGCGACCTGGGCGCGACCTGGACGCGTCCTGGACGTGACAGAGACGCGAATACATGTTATAGTCGCGTACCAGCTACATGTATCGCGATCGACCATCGAAGCGTTCACTATTTGACCGCGATAGCAATACGCGTCCCATTGATTRTGTGATACCGTAATACTGTATGTGTACATTAATTAAACCTTAAAGATCGAACAGTTCAGGCACGATCAGAAAGTGTTTAGAGGGCATTGAGATAATTACACTGACGTTTGTGTATAGCGTGCCTATGGAGTTCGAGTTTTCGAGATAACAACATTCCCATGCTTTCGCGCYGGGTTTCACGATCGAGACCTTGCTTGTGAACATGAATTATACTTCTGACAGGACAGAGTTAGAGGACAATTTGTTTACAAAACCATYGAGTAAATTGCAATAATTCTTGGAAATCAATATTTATTAGCTTTTGTAGCGACATAATGTTGTGTGGAAGAACTACACAGTAGACATTTCTCGTATGTAACTTACMTGTTTTGCTTTTGTGCACGGTCGTGCATATTTTATTGAGCGAATGCAGGAGCGGGATTTTAGAGCGTTACCTTAAAGCTTGTTTGATGAAGTTTGGTCCGCGCAAAGGACTCGCCATTTTGTAAAGAGATTTAGTCGTGCATTATGGCAGCTTATTAGAATAAAAGGAATTGGTTTGCGACAGTCTGCACGCTCTTGATAAAAGACATCAGGTCTCTCGTCACAAGAATTACCTTCATAGGAATGCKTCAAAATGAGACTCWCTCGTTTCTTCTACAACACTAATACAAAGATGAGAGATATTGTAGAACRCTAAAAAAGAGGGAATTGCCATTCAGTTGCTTGGGCAATTTTTGTCAGCGAATTTGTAATTGTCATAATTGRTGCGTGACAAATGCCKCCTGCTGCAACTAAAGAGTAAAATCACTTCGYGCGGCATAAATATAAATTCATTTGCAATTGACAGATATTTCTCGGTTCGCTAGATTCATTATTATCAATAGTGATATGATATCAGTAATAATGTAAATGAAACTTTTGTTTGACACATGCACAAGA